GAATGAGTTTCAAAATATACAAAGAAACTTTGAATAATAAGTGAAAAGGGTTTCAAGGCCAAGTCGAGTGCAGAATGATACTCAGTTCCACCACAGACTGGAACGGGATCAAGCAGTGACACAGCATCTACTCAGAGAGACACACAGAAAAAAGCACCATGTTTTCCAAACATGAAATGTCAGCTTTTGATGGATAAATCAAATGCATAATTACAAAACACATGGTATGTGCTGTTTCTAGGGGCTCACAGGGACAAGCAGAAGCCCATGCAGAATGATGAGATTATTTGGTTGTGAAAGGATTACCCCTGAGAATAAAACATGCAGAATCACACAGAATTTGTAGATAGCTTTTGTAAAATCTTTGAGGTTTTTCACATTGAAATTTTCAATGGAAATTTTCTGTTTACACGGTGAGAAGTCAACTGAGAATCTCAGATACAGGTTTGTTTTGAGCTACAGAGCAGATCTCAGGCCCAGCCCGGTCAGCCTGGTCACAGGTGCTGATCCTGAGTGCAAAGGCAGCTCCTTTAGCTGAGAATTCCACTGACAACACCAAATGGCACCAGCCTGTTCTGCACTGTAACCAACCCATTTCATGCATCCACGTGAGAGCAACATCCTTTGGCTACTGTACATCTAGCCAGGACTGAACCAGTGATTTAAAAACAATCTAAATTATTCTCCTGCAAAAAAAAAGGAAAAAAAATCTGAAATGAACCAGAAATCGCCCTGGAAGAATGGAGGCAGGGAATGACCTTTTCTCAAAATTTAAGCAAGACATAACTCCTTCTTTCCTGATCTAAGCCAGTGTCATTTTTTTTTTCTTTAAGAGCTACACTGACTGAAAATAAAAAAAAAAATCTTTTCTCCATCCAAAAGCAATCCTAGAGGGAAGCTGGGCAGTCTTGACAAACATGAAATATTCTGCTAAAATACCAAACTAAACAAAAAGGTAACAAGGGCTAAAGTGGCCTAGGCAGCTTAGCATCATTATCTGGAAAAAACCTTGGCATCCAAGTCCACAGCCACATCCAAACAGAGAGAAGATTAGCTCTGTTTGCTACATCAAACATGTCTCTCTTCCTCTCTCTTCAAACATAAATAGTTCCAGGCTCTTAAATAAATTAGCTCAGCTTGGGTTATACAAGCTGCTTCATTTTTTGCTCCAAAAGGGAATATAGATGTTTGTTTAAAAATTGTAAATAAAATATAAACAGAGATTTTTTTCCATTGCATAGTGATCCTTTCCAGTAGGTAATGATCAGCACTATGTCCATTTTTCTCCCTTATCTTATACTTTGGGATCACAGCATTATTATGAGTACTTCTGATGGGAAATGGATGAAAAAAAATTTATGCAATAGGAGGAAGTTTATCTGCACTTATTCACTGTAAAAGCAAAATAATAATGTTTAAAAGGCACAGAGAATAAGTGCAACAGAATGGCTTAAAATTACTTATAAAATTGTTCTCTGAAAAAAGGTGCTTCTTTGTGTGGCTCTGTTGTGTGGAACATGTGAACCCTGGAAAGGCTGATGAGTGAAAGACAACAGTTCTTGAAAGCCCTACAAGCACTTGCCACTGGGCTCGAGTGGGACTGTTCCCAGGAGTCGAGTGGTGTCTGTCTGGATTATGCTGCAGTGGGATTTTTATTTTTTTTTTTTCATGGAGCTACTTCCAGTGGTGTAGCTCTGGGATAACAACAGCTCCTGCAGCAACCATGTGATGGTGTAAACAGAAAGCTCACAGAAAGCTTCAAAGTGGGGCAAAGTTCTCCTGTGTGTTGGACGTTTTGCTTGTGCTTTCAAAGATGTCAAACCAAAGCAGGCCATAAGTACCTCCGTGTTGGGATGTGGAGTTTGGCTCCAGGGCACGATTAGCCAAGGGCAGGGGTTTTTCTTCTCAGTGTAACAGTGATGCTTCACATCCTTTCTAAAACTGGCTGGGCTGAGGTGTCCCTGGCTTGGAGTCTTTCTCCAGCACGGAGCAGAATATTACTGTTATTATTGATTTATGTCGGGCCTGTCTGCTTCCAGCCTCGAAACACTTTACTAAGTTACAATATACTTAGGAATCATTTCACATCAGCCACCACCACGCTGGAGCTTTCTCCTGAGGGAAGCTGAAGGGAGCCATTAGGATGGTGCCTGCAACATTAAACAACAATCCAGGAGAGGAAGTAAAGAATATTCTGGCTCCTTAAAGCAATGGCTGAGCAGAATGCAGTCACTGAGCTGCCATCCAGCTGGGACACCAAAGTCAATACCCATTCACCGTGTGTGGTTAAAATTAAATCTCCTAATGAAGTGAGATGGTTTTAGTGGTTAGAGAGTGAGTGCAAAGTATTATTCTCCTGTATTATTATTTGTAAGTTATACAGCTAACAAGGGAAAAGATCACACACAGGAAAACAGCAGACAGTTAGATAACGTTCCAAGCCCAGTTTCTAAATGACATTTGGGCAAATATAGCTTTGGAAAAAATATATTAAAAAAAAAAAAAAAAAAAAGATGATGCATTAGAAAAAATGGAATTGGCAGTTTCTCACTGTTTTCAGGGAACTAAACTAAACTGAACAGAATTAATGTCAGTTTTTATCCCCTATAGTTCAGGTCTAGAGAAAAGAACATTATTAGCCTCTGTTAATGAGCAGGTATTCCCTAAACACTGCTGCAAATGCTCCTGAATCTTAATTTGCTTAGAAGAAGAAATGGTAAAGTATTGAGAGGAAAAAAACCCTTAAAAGCCTTTTTTATTGTTATTGTTGTTTTTTCTTTTCCCCTGAATTAGAAAAATGCTTCGATGGTTTTCTGGACAGGAGGTTTATATATCTGACTAAAAAGATCCTCACACAGTGTTATCAAGCTCTCCTTTCAGGGCTAGTAATTGCTAGCTGGTTCTAATCATTCCTGCAAGTGATCATTTGAAAGGTTCATTTTATGACCCCTCAAACTAAGCACAAAGAATCTCACTCCATAATGTAATAAACAATTCCACAACCAGTGCTTAATTAATTCCCGAAAGTCACCAAAAGGAGCTATTAATGATCCTTCCTTTTTATCTAACCATAAATATGCGAGTCTCTGGGGATAATGGATTTAAAAAGAACATTCTGGCAAGACAAACTGTCAACCTGATAAAGCATGAAATGATCACCAGTGAGGGTAATTCAAAATACAGGGCAGGGCTACCTGGTCTGATTAGAAAGTTAGGTCGAGTTGGATTAAATTTCTCTGAATGTGGTGCTGACCAAAAAGAGGTCAGCACTGACATGGTACAAACCAGGCTCAACTCAAATGAATAACCAAGAGAAAAATACTACAACCCTTAGACAAGTGTTTTTAAAAATTATCTCTATTTGGAAATTTGCTTTCCTGTGAAAATATCAACCATCATTATAAATGGAGGGTGGGCAACATTTCAAGGTTGTTTACAATACATGTATTACAAAAAGCAGACTGGTATTTTCAAGAGAACTTTGGTGTTTTAGGAGCCCAAGTACTGTTTTCACAAGTAAATCAGGCAGTAGGAAGCCCTTAAATGAAATTTAGTTTCCTGGCAACCCAAGCCACTGCTGAAAATTAGATTTAGGCTTCTAAAAGGCTTTGATGTTTTTGAAAGTCACACTTCCTGCAGCATTGCCCAGCTGACTAGGTGTAATACAGTAATTTACCTTCCACTGAAGAACAGAATCGCTTTGATGGCTTCAGTGGTATCTGGGTGGTTGGGCTTGTTTCATAGAATGTAGAAAATTATTTTGCTGGGCATAGCCAGGGATGACTGGAATCTCTGACCAGAAGCAGGAGGAGGAAAGAAAGAGAATATGCCTTTTCCAAGATAGGTCCTTCGGGTGCTTTGTGCTTGATGCCAGTGGAGCCTCTGCACTGCCATATCCCACCTTTGGAAGAGCTCCATGAGCTTTTGGACCTCGATGCACTGGGTCTTTCTGAATCTCTCCTGCTGAAACAATCCCTGTGACACCCCCATGGAAACAGGGAACAGGCTCCCCCACCACGCAGCCAGGAGGGTTCTTGCTATGGCTGTGGAAATCTAAGGTAAAAGTACCTCTGAAATGAGTTTTTAGTGATTAATACAAAGAAACAAACACAACAGGAAGCATTAAGAAAGAAACGGGGGGAAATAACTAAGAGGACTTTGAGGGTCCCCACTCCTGACTCCCCTGGGCAGGGCAAAGAAAGCCTCAGATCCTCAGCCCCTTGACTTGGGCTCCCACTTGGAAGATGGAGGTTGTGGCTTGCTGTGCTTAACACTGAAGAACTCACTGTTCCAAACATCTGAGAGAACCTGGAAGTTCCTTTAAACAGGAAATTTTAAAATTTCTCATTTTTTGTTCAAATCTTCAATGAGACTTTTTTTTTTTTCCTTAATGTTGGAATTTCCTGTGGAACAGAAATTCTGTTTTAAAACCATTTCTATTCAACAGGGCTATTCAGATGGAAGCATTTTCTTATTCATTCCACTTTGCAGCTAACTGGTGCCACCCCAAATGTATTGCTCTTCCAAGAACGATGTGGCAGCCCTGGAATAGCTAATTAGCTGGGCTGTATGAAGCCTCTGCCAAAAGTTTCAGCTTCCAGAGGCATTCCTTTAAGGAATGGTGGTGTGGGTTTGGCTTTTGCAAGGATACACATGGTTTCAGAAGCCCACAGGCACCAAAAGTTAGTTTGTGTTTTGTAACTGCTCATCTCAACCCAGTCATTGAGCTGATGTCCCAACCACAGTGAGTCAAGCAAACTCCTTCAAAGCACTCCTGGAGAAAGCTTTTGGTTAATCTTTTTTTTCTTTTTTCTTTTTTTTTTTTAAATAAAAAATCTTGTCTTTGGGGAATCTTGTAAGAAAATTCTGCTTCTATGGCTATTTACTGGGAAAATAAATTCAAACATTACTTGCATTGTGTGTAGATAAATACCTTTGTCCCTTAACCCTCCAATTTTTGTACATTGTTAAGGCAAATGAAAGATGTCTAAATCCAGTACCTTTATACTTGGTCACCACAGCTGAGTTGACACTCAGAGGTTCTTGGAAGGTGACAGTGAGTGATGTACTGCTTGTTACCATGAGACAGACATTGGTTGGCGCCTCAGGGGCTCCTGGGAGAGAAGAGAAAACATCAGCTCTTCAGCACAACAAATCCTATTCAAACAATGTTTCTGAGTCTTCAAAGAACCCCCTGAAAATCACCCTGCAATTGTGAGTTTCGGGTTTTAGGTGTTTGTGTTCTCTGCCTTTTGAGCATTTTAATTAGTGCCCCTGCTAACAATATCCTGCAGACACCATTTGTTTCTATCATGGGTTTTTTTGGCTCCTTTCAGTTAAAAATATCTTCCTGCATATATGTAACCCAATAAAACAGATTCATGCTAATTATGTCAATGAAAAGCCCCTATAAATCTCTTGGGGTGGATAGGAGGAGAGAGAAAGGACATAACCACAAAGAACTAATTAAACCTTTATGGTTTCACTAACAAACTCAAATTTATCAAATAGCAGAAAACATTTTTACATTATTGTGATTCAAAAATTGCAAATTCCACAAATGTTTCCATGTAATAGTTCCAAAATACTGTTGTCAATTGAGGCCTAACATTTTGGTTTAAAAAAAAAAGAAGAAAAAAAAAGCTTAATTCACAGAATATCAATCAGACTCAATTCAGAAATCAAACACATAATGTCTTACTGCTGGGATTGATTTAAAAAATCAGTATATTAACTTTCACTACTGCTGCATTTCCTGTATTTAGTATCTAATAGAAGGAGCACTACATCTGTCTTGAAGAAGTAACCTTAGAATACAATAAATTTGGGGAAATTATTTGTAAGTACATTTATATAAAGATGGTTGTAAAAATGTTAATGGCAATGATTGTATTTCATCAAATAGGATACAGCTAAAAGATCTCCATGTGAAACAATTCAGTCCTGTTTACTCCTTCCCATGGGCCCAAATTCCCATTTACTTTGGGCACACAATCATTTGTATGACTGTTTAAAGTGACTCAGTTTGTGACTGAGCTAATGAAATGGATACCAAGTGGTTACCAAAATTAAGATGAAATTTTCGCAATATTTATATGCAAAATGAAATTTCATTGTTTGACCAAACATTTAGAACATTTCTGTTCCAAAACAGAAAAAGTTTTTGTGAAAAATAATCAAATCACAGCAGAGAAAAGGACCACATCCCCATTCCTCTTCCTGCCTGTTCGTGTGTTCTTTTATAGTCATCTGGCTTTAAACTCTGAACATGGTAAATGAGATCCAGGGGTAAACGTGAAGAGAACTAAGCAGGACAGAATCATTACACCCCAAACCAGGAGTTTGGAGGCCTCATCAATTTATGCAGCCCACTCCTGAGGACACAAGTGCTTGTTGCCCTCAGATATTTGGTCCTTTATCGTTCTAACATCAATTCCCTTCCTGCTCCTGGAAAGGCCTTTTCGTGTTACACCTCAGTTTTCCCGCCCTGACATCCGCAGTGCTGGGAGGGTCAGTCAGTGAGAGCAGCTTTGGGAGGGTCAGTGAGAGCAGCTTTGGGAGGGTCAGTCAATGAGAGCAGCTTTGGTAGGGTCACTGAGAGCAGCTTTGGGAGGGTCAATCACTGAGAGCAGCTTTGGGAGGGTCAATCACTGAGAGCACCTTTGGGAGGGTCAATCACTGAGAGCACCTTTGGGAGGGTCAGTGAGAGCAGCTTTGGGAGGGTCAGTCAGTGAGAGCAGCTTTGGGAGGGTCAGTCAGTGAGAGCAGCTTTGGGAAGGTCAGTGAGAGCATCTTTGGGAGGGTCAGTCAGTGAGAGCATCTTTGGTAGGGTCACTGAGAGCAGCTTTGGGAGGGCCATTCAGTGAGAGCAGCTTTGGGAGGGTCAATCACTGAGAGCACCTTTGGGAGGGTCAGTCAGAGCAGCTTTGGGAGGGTCAATCACTGAGAGCACCTTTGGGAGGGTCAGTCAGTGAGAGCACCTTTGGGAGGGTCAGTGAGAGCACCTTTGGGAGGGTCAGTGAGAGCAGCTTTGGGAGGGTCATTCAGTGAGAGCAGCTTTGGGAGGGTCAGTCAGTGAGAGCACCTTTGCAGGATGTTCTCAGCTGCAGGGTTTACATGGAGAATTTTGGCCCTTTCTCTCACTCACGGGCGTGTTCGTAGCCGGCCTTCATGCGCTGGTACAGCCTCGACCTCCACTCCCAGGCCTTCAGCTGCTTCTCCCTCTCCGTGGTGTCGATGCCCAGACCTTCGTTCCCCACCTGTGCAGACAGCTCCGTCACTCTCTGCTGCGCCTCCTGCACCAGCGTGCTCAGATGCACCGACCTGCTCTCCACGTCAACAACTGCCAAGAAAAGGAGGGGAAAAAAGATTTGTCACCACCATTTTCTTGGTGGAGACAAAATTCTGCAAAATACAAATCCGTGCAAAGCACGTCTAAGGTCAAATCCTCGAACGCTCTGCCTTCCGGTAGTTATCTTGTCATCAAGTGGATTAGAGCCAATTTATACCACTTAAAGATCTGGCCACTTAAGTGGGATTAGCAACATGAATAAATTTAGCACTTTTTTTTTTTTTTTTTTTCCTGCTGGTATTTTCTCATATGCTTAAAAATGTCTTAATTAGACTGAGGTTGCGTATGTGTTTTAAGTTGGTGGGATGTGAAAACCAAACTAAAATAATAACTTTTCTCTCTCCAACCCTTGCTTTGCCATAATATCATAAGCTTTCACAAAAAAAACCTCAACCTGGTTGTAAACACATACAATATATAAACCTCTACAAGCAAAGAGAGATCTAATTGACAAAATTAAGAATGAGAGTTTTGTGCCTGAGGGCCATGGCTGGTAGAGAATGGATCCCTTTCCAGGTTTTTGATGTGCCAGTTTTGCCCATGTAATACCTAATTAGTCCTCTGAACAGGCTGTGAGCAGCTTGAGACATGGAGATTTTTTTTTTCTCTGGTGCTCAGGATATTTTTAATTTGATGTTTAGCAGTTCAGATTGCCTGTGTGAACTACTGTGGGCTACATAAAGGTGAAAATGAAGATCACGTAGGTTACAAACTAAAATAGGATTGATTTTAGCCCAAGTTCACAAGACTGCCCTAAACCAATTATAAAACCTCCCTGATTATACAGTGAAATGTGGTGAATCAAGTAATATTTTCATAATTTCTCGTAGCCTAAAATTGTTAGAACAGTTTGCAGTTTGGAAAATAGGACTTGTAACATTGTTTAATCTCAAAAGAAATGCAAGTACTGATTGGATGTTCAATATGCAGGGAATTGTGTACAGGAGAAGGAATGCTGAAATCCCAGAAAATAACTGGTGTCTGGTGTTTTTGCAGAAGAGCTGAGATAGTCCTAATTTAAAAGGCCTCTGTTTACCAAAACCAGTGCCCTACCACATGCAGCTTCTCTTAGCAATGGTGGGGGCTTGCTATGGAGGGACAGCTCTTGTTTCCCCAAGGATTTCACAGGAACAGCAGGAATCTTGCACAGCCTGCACTGAGCACTGATTTGCACAAGCCAGACATTTCTGAAAACATCAAATTGTACCAGATAAAGCACTGAGGCTCTGACAGGTTTTTGACATCAAAACACCACAGGAGCGAATATGTCTGCAGATACAAACGTGCTATTTCCAAACTGGGATCATATGGGACAAATCAGATTGGAAAAGACCTCCTCTAGTCCAACCATCTTGTTCAAAATAGGCTCAGCCAAGAGGTCAGACCAAGTTACTGAAGGCATTATCCAGTCTGGTCTTGAAAACTTTCCAGGATGGATGAAGGCTTTACATCAGCTTTAGGCAACCTGTTCCACTGCTTCATTCTCTTTATGGTAAAAAGAGTGTTTGTTTTATCCAATCTGAACTTCTTATTTTAACTTTCCCCCCTGTCTCTCATAACTGACAGTCGAAGTTTAGCAGAGTTTGAGAATAACCCTATGGACTGCTGTGAAAACTGCCCTGGCATCTCTAAAGCCACAGGAGGAGAGCAGAGAATTACCCAACACCTCTGACATCCAAAGGGCTGTTTTTGAAGGAGGTTTGTCTCTAAGACTTTGCTTTCAGAAGCTGGCTTGCAGCCAACCTTCTTAAGTTGGATCATTCTTCATATGGACATCAGGGACATATGGCCAGGCTCGCTGGAATCTGCTGCTATCCTCAGAACTGCTTGTTTACTGGGAGGCCAAAGGTGATAGGATTTCCTGGATCCATGCCTACAATAAGTGTGCAACACATCTGACAGCACAACAGGCCTGGGGAAGGAGATTTTATGTGCCAGAGCTTCAGGTGATTGAGAATTGGCATTGGCTCAAGTTCTCACCAAGGATCTGGCTCTATCTGTTTAATCAAGATTCACATTCACATTTGTCAGGTCTTGGAAACGTGTCCAATCAGCCAGTGGGAATTTTAATCTTATTTTTCATTTGGGTTCACATGAACAAGCCAAACCATGAGTATCTGATGAATAAGAGTAACTGAAAAGATAACACAGTGGACTTTGCCTCCTCCCCAACTAAATTAATATTTTAAATGCTGTACTCCCTGACTTTAGTTGCTCTGTGTTTAAAAGATGTTGGGTTCCTGTTAAAAGTTACACAATCTGAGCTCCATGTGGAGATGAAGATCACAGTTTTACTTTCTATTGCTTTATCTGCTGCTGTTCCTCTTCCAGGCAGAAATCCAAGGGGTACAGATGGAAGTTATTTGTCCTCCAGATCCTCTTTTCTACAGCATTAGGCTGGGGGCTATAATGAGATTTCAGCTGGATCACTACACCTAATATAGTGGCAGAGCAGGAGTTTTCTCTGTAGGAAGCACTTGGAATGGGGAATTCCTCTCTCTTGCAGCCTCCCAGCTCTGTGCATCTGTCCTATAACAGTTCTAATCAGATCAAGAGATGCTTGTGTGCAATCCCCAAATTGGGTGGGTCAGGATTTTACCCTCCTATTCAGCTCAGTTGCCCACCACAGAGAAAGGGAAATGCTCCTGCTGGGTGCTGGGTCATGTTCTTGCAGCTCTGAGCTGATACAAACAGAACAGGTTTGGTTTGAACAGGGTTGGGTAAGTACAGAAAGCAGATACAAAGGGACTGGTATCAGTTCCACGGGAGTTAAGCCACGCACAGAGGTGCTGTGAACCCTTGTTTTGAGGGCTGAAAAAAACTTTCTGCATTTTGCTCTCAAGTAGCAACTGCAAACCCTCCAGGTAAGAAACCCAAACCAAACAATCGTTTGCTTTTTATTGAGAATGCTTCATCCATTATTTCAATCAGAAAAAACTAAAAATCAAGATAAGTGAAGTGGAAATTTGGTGGGTATATTTTGAAATGGAAATGAGGTGGTTATATATTCATATTCTCTGTGTTCATAGGCATGTTTGCATTAATTACAGGAAATGAATACTAATTTATGATTGCCCCTGCTCGCCATCAGACTGCATTTATTTACAGATGAGGTCAATGAAAAATTAGTTTAGTCTTTTTTACTGCTGTTTAGAACACTCAAGACTGTGTTTTCCTCTAGATTTGTCATGGTTAATGAATGTTTCTTCAGCAGTCAATCATGTACTCTAAATGCTGTCACACTTTTTTTTAAAGCCTCAGTCATGAACCATGACAGAAAAATAAACAAATAAATATAAAACTAAAAAACTCTTTTCACTGAGCAGCTACACTATGCAAAAACCTCCAGGGAGGGTTAAAGGAGGCCAGAATAAATGATAATATAAGTGCTGTGGATATAGAAAAGCAATAAAGGTGTACCAACACTGAGGGTCTGGCAAAAAAAACTCAACATGCACATGCACACACACTCTGCAGTGAAAAAAACTGGCAATGTTAGTAGCCTCAAGGTGCAATTTCCTGGAGCACTGAGATTGACATGCCAGCACTAAATGTTGTTAATTTAACTAACTTCAAATTAATGGCAGAGTCTGCAGTGGCCGAACCCCTCAAACACAGTCTCATTATAGCCTTGCTGGGAACGTCCTAAATATAGGCATTGACAGTTCCAAACAAATTCTCATACATCGGGGTATTTTTAGACCCAAGTAAGGCGTCACAGTTTGTGTCATGGCATAGGGTTGATTAATTGGGTTGGTAAGTCACCCTCCAACCCGCAGATTGGGCATAAAAGGGCCCACGGAGGAATACAAAGGAGTTTTATAACTACAATGTGTAGTTATGAGCAGTATTGGTATTCCAGTGAAGCGAGAAGGTTTGGTTTGTGTTCAGGTTTTCTCTGGTTCGGTAGAACTTTGAGATTCTCATTTAAGTGGGATTTTAGGCCGTTTGAAGACCAGGAGTGAGGAATCTCTGGGTAATGGAAATTATAGATTTCCACACAACTGGTCTCCTGAAGGCAGCCTAGCCAAAATCAAAAGGATAATCAAAATAAACCAAAGTCTAGACAACCCAGCATCCTTTCATTTTTGATAACAAACTCTACATTTCAGGCCATGATCTTTGGATCACTCAGTCCCTGTTTCTGCATTTTTTAAGATTTTTTTTTTTCTCAGTATTGGTATTAACTCAGCTGCCCAGTGTTAATCACATTAGAAGCTCAATCTGATTCATCGCTTGGTGTATCTGAGATAGAGAACAAAAATATCTCCTGAGCATGCATTCAACAAGCAGATATTGCTGCAAACATCCCCCAGCACTGTGGTACTGTGCTGTCATCATCATCCTTATCATAAAACCAGGCAATTTTGGTGCATCATGTAATTACTTTCCCCAAACCACAGCAAACTTGATCTCCTACAGGCAATTATCGAAGTCAATTTGTGCTCTTTACTTACAGTGTGGGCTTTCCTTTGCCCCAACATGCAGAAGGGTCTTAGCAATAGGGACATTATTTGTCAAAATGGCAATATCCAGAGGAGTTAGTCCCTCACTGTTTGGTGTGTTCAGGTCCAGTTCCTCCAGTGTGTATTGATAAAGAAGAATCTGAACAGCATCCAGATCCTGCTGTTCCACGGCCTCAAACATTGCTTCGTTGCACTGGAAATTCTGTGTATCAATGAGAACAGAAATTCAGTAAAACTTTTCAACTGTTAGTGCCTTAAAAATAAATGGAGAAGATTTGTGTTTTGTGAGATTGCTGTCAAATATTGATCCTCCAGTCCCAACTATAGGTTCAGTTAGAAGAAGGGCAATTGTTTGCAGCAGAATTGGGCTTGGTCTGCTTGAACTTCATGCAGGTCCATGGGAAGATTCACGTGAGGTTCAAACCCATATGAAACAAACCCATGCTTGTGTAGACATCTGTCCTGTAATCAAATTATATCAGCAACATTATATGTTTTCAGTGTGAAACAGGATGCTACACTATGATTTTGTCAGTGTCTTGGACTACTGAGTTTTGAAACTCAAAATTTAGAGTAAAAATCTACAAACTCAGGTGATCAAAATCCAAATCAAAGAAGCTATTCTGGAGGAAAACCTTCCCAGTTCCAGTGTGAGCCAGCAACAGGTATTGACCATTTTCCCACTTCGGTCATTTAGAGGTGTTCATATTCTTGTGTTTAAGTTGTAACTGGAAGAAGCTTTGAAATACATAAAAGGATGTAGAAAGGAGACTGAAAAAATTGACTACCCCTCAAGCAGGGAGAACCACTGAACCTTTTCCTTAGCAACATCAAGGAGATAAAAAAGTGGTATAACACAAAGGCACCTATTGTTCCTTAATTGAGCTGGGGAGAAGCAGGTGCAGGAGAGTAGCATGGCCTGCAGGTTTCTGTTATGAGAACATCCTTCTGGAGCTACAGTAATGTCATGTTATTTGCCAAGATTCTTTAAATTCTCTCCCAGTGTCCCATGGCCATAATTACCCAATAGGGTTTCTTCCCTCTTTGGAATGAATTAGCAGGAGCAAGAGGCCCAGGCAGGCAAGAAGGGCTCAGCATGCAGAGGAGCTGAGATCTAGGTAGATCTGCTGTGCTCATGGGCAGAGTTAAGGAATTGAAAGGATCAGAGAGCAAGTGATCTGGATACAGGATGTAAACCTGCTCCCTGTTCTCTGAAACCACATGGAGGGACCACAGAGAAAATTCTTATCACAGAATGTATTCTTTATTCCGTGAAATAAATATTACATTGAAACCGTCTTCTAGTGTGATTAGAAATTAACATTTCAACCACACCGAAACTTTGTTTTCTTTTTTAAATCGATGTGGTTTTGTTTGGCAGATCCCTGCCTGAGCTTTGCTGTCAGTGAAATAACACTTTCTGAAAGAGCACTGACCTGCTGGAACATCTTTTGTCTCCTAAAATTGATGGGCTAATGGTTTGCAAGCAGTTCTGGAAACGAGAGTCCACAGCTACACCTTGGAATGTGATAGTTCTGGAGGGTTTTTTTTCAGGTGTGCTTGAAGTTAAAAGTGTCTTCAGAAGTTCCCAGGCCTGACAGGGATCTCCTGGTCAACTGTTTGGCATGTGAAGTGTTGGTGCCACACTAAGAAATTGCAAAGATCATGTTATCTAAAAGTTTTCATATGGACTCCACCTGTGCTGGATATCAGGGATCAGCAGAACAGGAGGGCAGATGGACACTGGATGATCTTTACCCAAAATTGCCAGTGTAGAGAAATGAGATTCCCATTCTAAATGGTTTCTAAGGATGAGAGGAACTATGCAGGAATAAAGCAATTCTGGGACAGTCGTGCTGACTTGGGAATCTCCTTTTAGACACTGAAGTACAAGACAGCTCATGCTGGAGAGAGATTTCCATGCAGAATAAAAAGATGCCACCTAAACATCAGTGCTAATCCCGGGGCTCTGCCAAATCCTTCTCTGGATTGCAAGATTCAAACTTAATTTTATTGTCAAATACTTAGACCACACTTCAGTGTTAGGTGTAAGACAAAAATCTCAGAAAAAGGGAGAGTTGGATGGTGAGCACCTCGATTTATCATTCTTTATCCACCCCTCTGTTCAAGGAAAAAAATTGTCTCTAAGGTCATACACTGTCATTAGTGAGAGCACATGTCCAGAAAGTGTTAGCAAAGAAGACAGCACATATCTGTCTTATTATAAGGTGAAACTTAGAACATGACAGAACTTTTTACTGCAATGCAGCAATATTTTCTTTTCCTTCCAGTAGCTCCACACATCTGATGTCTTGCTTACATAACACCTTGTAATCTTGCTATCAGAGACCTTCCTCTTATTTTGGTGTTTTGCCCCTACTCTGAAACATGAAGTGATCTGGCTAGAGATTACAAGAATTTTAAGTAATTTTAATTATTAGTAAAACATATTTTATTTAATAATATTATTCTGATTCTTGCTGTATACCATCAGCTCCTACTACTGATATTGGAAGTTCTTCTCTACTGTTGTTTGTGGAAATACAGGATAATTTTGCTTCAGAATCATCTGCATTTTGATCCAATCAGAAAACAAGCTAAATCATATTACTCTTGCAACTGATCCCATCTAGGAAAATCTACTTTTTTAGCAGTAAATTAATCAAGAGCTTATTACAAAGGGAATTTGTTGAAGGAAACTAAATTACTACATTAAGTCTGCATTTCTTTTAGTTAAGTTCATTTTTGGAAACAGTCTGAGAGCAGAACAAAAAGGTAAAGCTGTCACTGAGTGACAGGAATGTGGTTACTTCTCTGTTCACATTTTCCTTTCTCTGGCACATGGTTTTCCCTTTTTTTTTTTCTTTTTTTTTTTTTTTTTTTTTTTTTTAAACCAGAATAGTAATTCTCTTTTAATTGGCTTTACATATGTGCACCAAAGTTAAATGAGTTAACATTTGTGGAGTGCTACCCTAAGTGCTCAGTACCATTATTTGGCTTTAATTCCAACTTTGTGTGAGACTCAGGAAATCTTGTGCTACATCTCAGGAGTTTCTTGCATTATATAAAACAAAAATTCCCTGCTAAATAATAAAAAAAGAGAGATGGTTAACTTTGGTTTTACTGCTAAAATTAACCCAGATTATGGCTTGCAAAGGCATTTGATCCTTTTCAAATATATATACACCCACTTTAACAACAGATATTACCTATCTGACTGATTATTGTAGAATTATTTGAAAAACTTTGATTTTGATTGTGGGTTTTTTTGATTCAGTTATCAAGATTTAGACCTGCCCAGATGCATCTTTGGATTTTTGCTTGCCAAGTGAAATACCTGAAGTATTTGTGAAATTTTGGCCCTAAGTAAGTTGCTGAACAGAATCGAAGCACATGTTTAAGTTAATTTGTCATAAACACTCTTGCCAACTAACCTGTTGGCAAGACTGTTTCAACAAAAGAGACAAAATAAAAGCAAATTTCTATTTCTTCATTTCATTAGAAATCTGATTGAAAAAGCTGCACTGATTTAAATGAGAAACAGCATGAATATCATAAGCTACTTCGTCCAGCTCAAACAATTATGAGACCAAATTACAAATATCAGGTTTTCCAAATGAACAATTCAGACACAAGCAATAGGCTGAAATATGTTGGCAAGTCTTGTGACTTCCAAGAGTGTAAAAACATGGGAATTGTGAGATGGCCTTTCTAGCTGGGCATGCACAGAGCAGTGCACATCTAACCTTGCTGGATCTTTTTCAGTCAAAAACATCCTGGAGAGGCAGCAAAATATCTGCTACATCTTCAGCCCTGACAGGGAACTGCCCCATTCGGAAGTTTGCATCCACCGAGTCCAGAAAAATATTCTCCACACCTGACCAACTTTTCCCCACCTATTTGCTCTCACATAGAAAACAGAAATGTATTTGAAGATTATATAGTTTTCTGCAAAAAGCTGATTGTATTCCATGTGAAAGGCTCTCCAGGGTTTTTCAGATTTCTGCAGCCCAAGGATAAGAAATCCAGACAGGGGTAAGGGGCAATATCTTCAGGCCCAGGTGCTCAGTTTTAGTCCAGCTGGTATTGTCACAAATACCAACAAGAGCCTTCTGATTTCTGCCTTCATTTACCTTTACTAGATAACTTTCCTCTGCTCTGAAAGGACAAAACCACTGAATTCAAAGAGAAACTGAATCACATTTACAAGTGATTGGGAGAAATTTAGGAGCAGTTTTTACGTTGCTTTTTCCTTGACTCAGTCCTGCAGCCTCTAATCATTAGCTGGACAGCTGTGCTATGTGATTAATTTATTTAGGTGTTACTCTGATGCACAAATGTATATACTGAAAAGGACTACAGTATTGCTTTGCAGTAAGTAATAACCATGTTCCAGTAAGTGATTCAGTGCCAGAGTGTTTAGAAATGCAATCTTATGTAGCTTAATTAAAATGAAGTGCCCCTTTCAAGCTATTTGCTCTAGGTTTGACTGAAAAAGTCCACTATGTGCTACTGGAGTTGGAAAAAGTGGTAAAGTAATTTCTGCAAAGACTTGTTTTGATAAACATGAGTTCAAGAATAAAGCTATTTTGGGACATTGCTATGTCTGCAGCAAGACAACAATTTACTGAATGGAAAGTGTGGCACAGCAAGAGAGAGTGGAAAGAAAACTCTTCACTAGCCAAAGCTGAAAGAAAACAAATTCTAACAAATGTTGTTCACTTGTCTGGAGACATGATTTTACTCATCGACTTCGCTCTGGGGCACAGAAACTCAATGATTAGAAAATACATCAGTCAGCAACTTGACCTGGAATATTTCCACCCCTCGCTATTTATTTGTAGGGAAAGCTGGGAAAACAACAAGCAGGATGGAGAGAATGGCATCCAGACCCTCTTGAGTTCAGTGGGAATGTGTTCACTGAGTGTTGTGGGCACCAGCTCAGCCCCCAGGCTGGCAGGACCTACAGGTACCTCTGCTCGCTGTAGGTCAGCAGTGATAAAAGCTGTGACACCCCCATGGCAGTGGGGTGGGCTGGGGAAACAAAGTGAGCACAAGTGAGTCTGTATCCCATTAAACACCACCCACATCACAAGGTGAAATCGAGTCTCACAGCTGTGATGACTGATTGAACAGGCACTCCCAGCACCTGACAGATCTGGAGCGAGGAGGGACAGAAGTGAGACTGTAAGTAGTTGGCGTGGTTAGCAGAGGACTCAGCCCTCAGCAGCAGTGCCCTGCTCCTCAATCTTCTGGCTGGGCTCATTGGCAATTTCTCTTCTCATTAGTTAAGTATGACAGAAGATCCCATATTTGAAGGAATATGTAATTTGAAGTGTGTATTTGGAGAAACACTGGTCAGAAGATATGCTGACAGACTGGCATTCATTCAGTCTGCATGTCAGTCTGCTCTGGCACGGTCCCCAGCACTACTTTATCCTCCTTGTTCCCTCACTTAGTCACACTTAAGCTTGCAATTAAAGAAAAAAAAAAAGGCAGGAAAAGATAGTGCCTAAAAAAATTCATCTAAAGAATCTTTTCCCACAGTTCATACTTTGAGACCCCAATTGAAATCATCCCTACAAACTGAAAAGCATCTGGAAACCCACAGCCTCAAAAAGCGCAGCTGTTGGCTCCCATGCAAAGGCTGCTTTCCAGCTCTCAAGCCCTGTTTGAGTTTCAGGCTTCTCCTGTAAAACAAGAATCTACTGGCTCTGGCAGAGCTGAGGGAAGCAGTGACAATCCCCTGCTTCCTTCAGGTCGTGGTTTTTCTTCACAGGAGAGAGACAACAGTCTCCATGGGTCCTCTGACTTCAAGGAAGGCAGGATCCTCGGGGATAGCATCTGCCACTTGATTTTAAAGTCATTTTCAATTCTTGCATTGATTCATACAATATGTCTCATACATAATACAGATTTGTGAGTGTTAAAGGAGTCTAGAGTGGGCTTTTTCCTTCTGACAAAATGTAATATTTTTGTTATCTGGCCCAGCCACACTCAGAGTTTACTCCTGCACTGTGCTAAACATCTGCTCTAGTGTAGCACAGAAGTGGTTCCGAGAGGCATCTGCTGGTGCATTCACAGACACTGCCATTAGTCACTGCTCTTCAGAATTGGAGAGGACCTCTCTCCTTCAAAATAAATAATTCAGAGGAGAACTTGAAGAATGTTCTTCCTACTTATGGAAAAGGGGATTTTTTTTTTTTTTTGGCAATATCAACAGCAGGTTCATCTTCCTCCAGCAAAAAGTTCTGCTGTGCACGGAACTTACATTGTGGTGTTATTTCAGGGACACTCAGGCCATCCTTCAGAATTTGTGCACTGAGGGTTGTGTGCCTTCATCAGCACTGGCAGAAACAGGAGCCCCTGTGAGGATTAAGTCCAGCATGTGCTTTGCAGTGCTGGCAGCAGAGTGCTTGGCTGTGATTTGGGTGGGGTGCTCAGGCCAGACTGCTCCATGTATGATCTCCTTCTTCCACAATCTTAACTAAAGGCCATCCCCACAGTCTCTGAACAACCTTGCATTTATCTGTCATGCCTGCAAATTCCACTTGCTGTGTTGTTTGGAAAAACGGGAACCTCTATTTAAGCCATCTTCGGTTTAATTCACATTTGGTCACATGAATGCCAAATTAAAACCTTACTCCTAAAATAAAGCATCATCACTTGCATAAGGCAGCCTGTCCTTGGCCTTCAAGAAGGGCAGCCTTCTATTTTCAAATAAAAGCCTTACAAATGACTTACAAAGGGCTTACGGACGGCAAGGCCGTGAAGAGCACACAGCGCTGGTGGGGGAACAGGAGCGAGACGATGAAAACCGCGCAGATTAAAAGCAAACCGATCGAGGGGATCAACAGGACAGTAAACTGGCGAGGTGGTAGAGACCAAGTAATTACCATGGAGGTCTTGCGGAGGCTGAGGCGGTCGGAGCGAGCTCGGAAATAGGCCTCGTCGAAGGACGTGTGGCTGCCCTTCAGCTTCTCCGACAGGTTCCGATAGAGCCGCTTGGCCGCGTTGGGAGAGGAGGGCATGCTGTGCTTCTTGGTCTGGAGGAGACTCAGGCTGTGCATTTGCTGGGTCATTTCTGGGAGTTTCTAGAAGAGAAGCGGCAGCTGCTGAACGAGGTTTTGCGACACCGCCGCTCGGGGCTGTGGCAGTGAAAGGCAAGACTGCTGTGGTTGGAATCTCACCCCTGGTCTATCAACACTTAGAGCCCACGTTTTTGGGCTTTTCCAATGGCAAATTGCTCCTCGTGGAACATGTGTGGGGAGGGGGAATTAAGGAGGGCAAAAATAAAACAGACCACTTCAAAATTACTCGCTAATTTGTGTAAGGAGAAAGGGGGTTCGATGAATGAGGAAAACAGCCTTTTTGCAGAGTGAGTTCTGGTGTGGAGGTGTCAGAAAAAATGACACTCAAATTAAATGTTGCTGTTTACAGTTTCATACTGAGTGGTTTCTTCCTCAGTTAGTGGACAGGCAGTGGTTTTGTCTGTATATCACTTTATCCTGCTCTGTGTTTGCCCTCTCCATTCAGACCACAAACCCTTCCAAGAGGGACTGCTGCCTTTTACTGCCTATCCTAATGAGATTTCCATATTATCTCATAATTAAACAATACTTTCTATGCTCTATGATTACAGTAATTTTTCCATATTAGGAAAAATTGAGTTAATATTTAACTCTGGAAGTACTTTATGTGGGAATAATTTTGCCTTTCTGAAGGGAAGCTAAGAATCAGATTTGACCCAACTTCAGGCATAAGGAATTATCCCCAGGGATCTCAAAGTAAAAAGGTGAAAAAAATGCACTATTTCTTCACATTTCCTTCTTTCTTGTCTATGTCTTTCTTTCTCACTTGTACACTGTGGTGAGCAGACACCCTGAGCACAAAAGTATCTGATTCTGTGTAATCTCAGGTATTCTCCACGTGCACAGGGTATTGAAGGGAGACCAAGTCTCTGAATGAGGAGAGACAGAGTCAACACAATTGTCATATGTGATGAGAAGACTTTGTTAAATTAGAGCAAAAGTGTGTGCAATCAGGAGGGAATTATGTGAGCTGCATCCCTGAAACCAGTGTGCAACTGTGGATATGATGAGAAATGAGCTTTCTGGGACTCAATACTGCAAAGATTTTGGACTGATTTTCTCCGAGTTTATGGAATAAAATGATTACCTACCTTCCACTTTTCTATGTTATTAGTATTTTAAAGAAACTCAACAATTTACCAAATTTAATAATAATGTAATTCTCAGTTACTTAGAGTAACACTTCCAGTTTCTATTTTTATATAGTGCTACAGATTATCCCACATAAATTTCTCTTCTTACATCTGTTTTCAGGAATTTCTCCCAACCATCAGTGAAGCATGGGTCGAGACACAGTCCCAAATTGTGGATAAAAATAGACCAATAATTGCCATAGGCATGTTTGCAAAGGAAGTTTCAATTTCCCAAAATAATTTGATTTCAAGAGTGCAGTCATTGAATACCAAATACCACACAGTCAGTAGTAAACTCAGGAGAGAGAGAACAGTTTGCATTTACCGTGCAAACCTAAACACCCTCAAGACTGTCCCTGTTACACATGGAAGCTTTGTCAGTAGATGGCCAGAGCAGACCCCCAAGACTGAAACACATGTAAAATGACAATGGAATCAATTATAATCTCATCAAAGTTTCTATTAAGTCTAGAGCAGGTGAGTCTGCAGCTTAAAAATTGTAGCTACTCAACAATAAAACAGGTGGCATCTTTGCCATCCACACAGAACTGGGGCATCACAAATGACTTGAAATGCAGAAATGTTTCCTGTATACTCACCATCAGTATCCTGGATTAGTGCAGGGAATAAACACAGAACAATAAAGCAACAGCTGGAATAACATGCTGCAAATGAACTGCATTTTTTCACCACTGTACTGAAACAATAAGATGCAAAATGCTACTGCAGATTATCATACTTAGCATGTTTTCTAGTCACACACAAGATATGAAATGAAAAACAGAAAGTTAGGTTGCATATTCTGGAAAACTTTCTGCAAGTGTGATCTTATTATGGTGTAGAAATAACTCCCAGGAGAGCAATGTGAATGAAATAGGGCAAAAGCATGGATAAAAACATAACAAGAAATAAGGAAAAAAACCATCTTGATTCCCATGATTCTATGATGGCCAGCACTGGGGGGTTTTAGATGTTGTCATTTTGTTTTTACATAAACTATTTAATGAGAACAGTTTTAGGCTCCATTTAAAGTTACTAATTTTGGATTTTTTTACAACTGAATCCTTGCCTCAACAATCAGTGCAGTCCTGAAATGTGCATTGTCTGGATTGAAATAATAAATCCGCCAGGTGGAATGCACTTAGCCTCAGGATAAATCATTGTCACAATGAAAATTGTTAGAGCACATCAAAGACTAAGTTAGAAACAGGAGATGGCCAGAACTGATCCATTTGATTTTTCACCTATGGAAGCCTCTGCACAAAGCTGACACAGGTCAGGATGAAGAAAGGACATCTTCTGGTTTGGAGATGTGTGGTCCAGCTTGCATTCCCACAGCAATTGGAGAACTGCAACAAGCAGCACAGCCCAAGGTTTCTCAGTACAAGGCAGAACCAGACAGAATGACAACAGCAGCTCCCCTTTTAACTGCTCATAATTAGCAGCAGTTTGCATTTCCAAGAATTAAAACCCACAAAAGTCTTATGGCAGCTCCCTGGGGAAACAGTTACTGCACAACCCTGGAAATACCCACCAAACCAGTCTGGTTGTGTGACTGTCACCCTGCCTGTACCAAACCAGGGACCGAGGGCTCCCCACACACATTTCATGCTGCACATCCTGTAGCTTAATCTCAGTCATCGGATTTCTGCTTGCCCCTCTAAGCACTGAAGTAATCATTTTATTCCCCCCAATCAGGGTGCTTTCAAATTAAAATTCAAATACAAATGAATATGAAATAGTTGCCCTTATAAAAGCTTTTTTTCTTTTAATTGCCAAATACTGACCTAATGTCCATGTCCTTTTAAAAAAATATTACAGAGAGAGAAAAAAAACCCCAAACCTAAATTATACCTCACTCTCTCTTGTCTGTGGCACACATATGCAAAACTACATAGACAGGTGCACTGGTAGGGCACAGAATAACTGTAAAAGCATTAACTTCAGATTTTAGGAAAACACAACAGATGAGAAACCACTCCACACTGTACGTTTATGAAACCATCTTACACTTGAAACTAATAATTAAGAATATATGCATTAAAGAGTTAAATTTGACTTACCAGCTTAGGCTGTCCAAGGCAAAAACGTGAACAAGTTGCTGGTAATTGTCCACTGTCTTCCTTCAATGAATCACATTAGCTTTGCTGTCTCTGCTGGCTCAGCCTCTGGGCAGAATGAGTAAACCTCTTCCTTATACTGCATGAATGATCAGATATGGAAAAGCTTATTACTAGTAATTACACAAGTCCAAGACTGCTGATAAAATCTCAGAGCAAGACAGCATTCAAAGCAAATCGTGTCGTGTCACAGGTAAAATGTTTGGTGCCTTAACTGTAAACGAGTTACCTGTGCAGCTCTAGCAGTGCCTAATATGGGAAGCTCTTGTTTCCATGTCAAAGATGCCATGAGTCCTGTGTGCTTTTAGCTTGTTGTAGCCTTCCAAACTGATCAGCAGCACAGTGTGCAAGGAGAAAAAAGAATTACAGCCAGAGTAAAGCAAACTGCGATTGTAATTAATTTGCCATGAAATATGAGCAAAAAGACATTAATGCATCCATCTTCATGCAGTTGGCTTTGTGTTAAAACAATTAAAAGGGGGGGGGAAATCACAGTGCTACACTGAGTGCAGTAATGCTTGTTGCATGTGATGTATTGTTCCTTCTTTCTTGAAGCACGCTACCACTACAGCTGTCTGCAATCATAGCAACAAAAGCAGCAACCATAGCCATAGCTGTGGGACATCTGCAGGATCATTGGAAAGCTCCCAGCCTGAGCAGGTTATGCTTAAGAAAAAAAAAGATTATTAAATGAATAAGAAAAACAAACTCTGCTGAAACAGACCCTGTAATGTCTGCATTAGCAGCTTCCAAAATAGTAGAAGGGTGATATTGCAAAGACTAATTTATTTTTTTTACTATAGAGCAAAAAATGCAAATGCAGGATCCCACAGAAAGCCACAAAAATGTTGCAAAGTCAAATATGGAACAGGTATACTCGGAATTCTAAAAATAGTCAGTAGGTGATAATCAAAGAGAAACAATAATATAGAAAATCATTTTCCTTCTGGACAGTCCACTGGGTTAAATTTGTGTAACCAGAATGCTCCTGTGTAACATCTGGCAATAGAAAAGAATTAAAACACACTAATTCCTAGGTCTGTCATAGTCAATGACCAGTAACATCTACAGAAAAGGTATTTTTCATTGCTTTTAAGGGGATACCAGAACTAGAGTTACAGTCTGCTGAAAAAATTTCCCTGGTTTTATTCAGACCCTATGCTTGATCATTTGGAAAATACTGGAAAGCTCCCAAAATCTGGTGATCAGCCTGATTCTACCACCTTTCTGGACTCAGTTAAGGATGCTGTGCCTCCTACCAAATAGCATCCTTTTGCCCAGGTAGCTGAACCTAAAATGCAGTCCCAGGCCTGATGTTTGTATGTAATGGAACTTGAACTTAGTGTATATTTTTAAATCAATCTGGATATGGACCAAACTAATCTGTGAGGGTTTTTTATATGCACACATGCATCCATATACATGTGTGTATGTTGACATGCACAAGTATTTATCTCAAGGACATAACAAGAATATCAAATGCAACTATTTACATGTTTTACTGCAGCAGAGAATTGCAAAGTGCTATGACAACACACTATGAACAACATTCCTTCTCCTGTCCTGTGAAAATCACAGTGTACAGGATTCTCTCTTTTGTTCTGCCCCTCCTAAGGATCATCAGTCAGAAGGAAGCAGGACAAGCTGACTGAGGTCACTGCTCCTTGCCAACAGGAGGAAACTGGAAGTCTTTTAAAAAACCACCAAATACCTCTCTAACACTGAGATACTATCTGGAAAAAAGCATGCTGAAAATCTGAGAGGTTTAAATCAGTTCAAATTAAATGTAAGCCCCAAAAAAATCCATTTTAAGTGCTGTGCTAAATAGGGATGATTCTTCTGAGTCCAAATACCCGATTAAGGCTTTTTGGTCTTTATGGACCCCACCTATGGAGCTCACATGGGAAGGAATTCTCCATTTCCAGCTGCTTTCAGGAATAAAACTAAAGTGAGTTTACTGAAACCAGTCTATTCTTGAACATTTTCTAGAGGTTTCTCAAAGTAGTCATTCATTTAACCAAATAAAAACATTTAACCAGATAAAAACATGAGCTGGATTATTAAAAATTATTAATGAGTGTGTATAAGTAAGTGCAAGAGGCCCTTACATCTCATTGTGGAGAAGACTAAAAGACCTGCAGAAAATCAACACCTGGGTTTATGATAAACACAGGGAAGCAGATCTGTTAGTCTGATCTTGTACTGAAATTTGTTTGTTCTCAAGCCTTTGATGCTTCCATGAGTTGACTGGGAGATGTCAGCCATTTATTGCTGTACTTGCTGATATTCCACACTTATCAGTCAAACAGTATTTTGCTGGCTATACTCACACTGCTGGCTTATAGAGATTTTCATTCCACGACTGATGACTCTACCTGCAGTGCACACCGTGAGCTGATTCCACAAGTTGTTGTTATTATTACTATTGCTAAAGCTCCACATTTTTGTGAAGGTGTTTGTTTAAGGGGACATTTCGTTCCGAGAGGCCACCCAAGTTGTCTGATTCACCGACACTGTCACCAAAACATTCGCCCTCTATTGATCTCAGCTTTATACACCACTGATATTTTTGTTGTTGTATTGGCCATTAGCTCCATGTAGCACATTCTGCTCGTTTCTTCACTGGGACGTTTCTGGGATGAGGGAGGCGAGGGATGAGGAGCTCTCAGCGCTGCTCCTCGTCCCAGGTTTTCGCGTCCTCCATCGTTAGGTGGCAGCGTTCGCCCAGTTCTCCAAAATCCTGGAGTGGTCCCTGGAGCAGCGGCCACACAGGGACCGCCTTGTCCACAGCACACGGTGTCCAACTCTTCCTTGCAGATGGCATCCCACGTCCTCCATCCCCAGAAACATCCCCGTGTTTTATGTCGCAGAGAATGAGTTTGGGAAAAGAACATTTGGTAGACCGGTAGTCTGGAAACTGGGTGGGAAGTTTGGAGCAAAGGATCTCACGTGGAGCCTGACTCTTCTTCCAGATCAGTCCATAACAAAGCTCTCATCATCGTTAAGAGACAAAGCCGTGTTTTAGGCTGTTCATAATCCCCCTCAAAGAACAAATATTGCTCAGTTGTCAGATCTGATATCAGGCAATGGAGCCAGGCAGATTGGATACCTGAAAATGGGATTCTCCAGCCCCTCTCCCAAAGTAGCGTGGTCAGGATAACTCTGTCTGGCATTGTACACTCTCTCATTTTGAAAATCTGTGACTAGAAAGGTGGTTAAAATGACTCTGTTCCTCAAAACAAAATTTTGGGGTGATTTTTCATACAGTAAAAGGTATTCACTGGGAAATGTAAAATAAAAACAACTCCCCCAAAAGCCTATAAAAGTATATCTTTCTTTGCCCCCCCTCATAATTTCTTGCAAGCATTTATATATATAAGGTACTGTAGTAAATTCCAACTCTGGTTTTGGCAATTGCTGCCTCTCTGGCTCCTTGTTTACCTATCATCTTTCACACGTACCCCTTTGCCAATTTGTTAATTCTCTGTCCTATTCCCTGGTTTCTTGTGTTTCCTCAAGGACATTGATCTGAGTCTTACTGTTTCACTAGTTCCTTTAGCCAGTGTTCTTGATCCAAATCCACAGCAAATAACCTATTATCCACAGAGACACAGCAGTACTCAGTATGCTTGTAAAAAAAGACAAATATTTCCCAGTTCATCAGTCACAGACGTAATCAAACTCAAGAAATTCTGAAATTGTGAGTGAAGAAAAAAAAATTGTGTTTGGACTAAGTTTAGAAAATTTCCCAATGAAATAATTTCCCCGAGTGTTTTGAAATATTTGAGACGCCCGTGATGTAAGGACTAAATGGAGCTGAGTTTGGCAGCCCTGGCTCCTCCAGGCTCTCTGCTGTATCCAGGGCTCCCAACCTGTGCTCCTCTCAGCACAACCTGCATTTCAGCACACCCGGGCTCTGCTGCAGGGCTGAGCTTGGCAGATGCACCAGCACCTTGGGGCTTGCAGGCTCCCACTTCCCGAGGAAGGGATGTGGAGATCAGGAGTCCTCCAGCTTTGGGGCAGTCTGTAGGGCAGCCTTGGAGCTGAGGGCTTGCTGCTTGTATCTCTGGGTCTGGGTTTAGGTGAACTAGCAGAAAACCAGGACTGTTTGCTCCAAATTCTTTAAAGATGGCATTTTTTTCTGTACAGTCACAGTGTCTGCCCCCTACCCCCCTCAGTCTTTGTAATTGGAAAATTCCTGAGTATAATAATTCCTGCTGCAGTGGAATAGAATCAGACCTGGAGTGTCTGAGCTGCAAAATGCTACTTGGTCATTTGGGATCATTTGGAGTTTATGTTAAGGTAGACAGAAATAGCTTGGTGTGAGAAGTCCACCACCTTCCTGTTTGAACCAAGGAATCAAAGAGCAGCTGCTGTTCCCTTAGGGATCCACAAGAGATCTTGTAGGATATACCTACCAAGAGGTGTGCACCAGCCTTGCTTGATGGGAATGCTGCCCTACTTCAGAACTAGCACACTCTTCAGAGCAGAACACTCTTTGCTGATGGTCCCTGTAATTGTTCTCCAGATTAGGACCCCCGCCCCCCTAAATTTGTGCAAACACATCTATCTTCAGAAAGCGTGGAAAAGTACATAAGACCACTGCACATATCTGAAGATATTCGTTCCCCAAGATCCTTATCCTCCTATAACATAATCTGCTCATCAGAAACAAATGACCCAGCTGAACATCACAGAAATAATGAAGTTGTCAGCAACAGCAGCACAACTGTGATGTTTTGTCAGCCTCCTGTTGATTATGCTATCTAGTCAGACACTCCAGATAGAGATAATTTATGCCATGTATTGTTTGGCCACGACTACTCCCAGCTGCACTGCATTTAATTCAAGTTACAGCAGAACATGTTACAAACAGGAATTAAGAGGCTTTTCATAGCTGGCAATTTCTAGATTAGGGAAGAATAAAGAAAAACCAGAATTTACCAATGTTGAGCATGGAACAAAGCTGAACAGAGGCAGACACACAATTCCAGAGAAGCACTTTTTTTTAAAGCTACACACAATTTTAGGGTTGTGACGCAGTCATTAAAAAACCCCAAAAGAACATATAAATATATA